AATTGTCGCTGGTGTACAATTACAAAAGATGTCTAAAATGTCCTCCTTCTCTGATGCATAACTCATCCCGTTGTAATACGGAAGCCGTAACTGACTCCCATACTTCCCGGTTCCTCTCGATTTTCTCAAGAACACGTTACCAGAACAGCTCTGTTTCGCGTGCATACTAGACTATTTAAAATGACCCCAAAAATAAAAATCAAATGGAGTAAGGTCGGGAGATTTTGCTGCCCAAGTTCTAAGAACATCAAATACGTGTCTCCAGTTAATCCGCATCCTACCGAGACCGCTGCCCCCGTTGCGAATGCTTTGTAGTTTTAAGATTAGGAAAGTCCATGACGCCACTGACAACCGTATCTTTCGCACCTACGGTTTCCAAAATAGTTTATTTTAAAAACTTGTAGGACCAGGTTGACTTATTATTGCTAAAGCTCCTCCCACAAATACATTTTTTTAAGAAACGAAATTATTCAAATCCGTTCTAATTGTTCAAAAAAAGTTTCAACAGTTTTTGAGTACCTTTTAAAATAGGAGAAATACCATTTTTAACAGAATATGGGCAATGTTTAATCTCTAAAAAATTGTGTATGAAAAAGCGTTACTAAAATACGTTGCTGCCAGGAATCAAGCCTTGAGCGAACGCACTAAGTTGGTTTTCTATGGTTGCGCCACCGCATGATATGGCAACCAATGCTGCCAATGCTACCAATGTTACGATACGGCTACCAATACTTAATTTAACCCTAACGCTGGAATTAACTTTGCGTGTTTAGCTCAAACGGTTCTAATTATTTTCTTTATTTTTTCGCCAATTTACAGGTAAAGTACGTCTATAAAAAATGGCGCACTTTCCATACTCATTGAACTCTATATTTTTTTTAAATTGGAAAGGCTACAATGAGACAATGTATGTGCTGTTGCTGCACAACTACGAGTACAGTAGAACCCCGGTAATCCGAACTAATTAGGATTGTGTTCTGTTTGGAATGGGAAATATTCGGATTACCGGAAAAAATGGACAAATACATCCATAGCATTAACAGACAATGCCATGTAGTGTGCGATGTTAGAGAATGGTAAAGTAGCATAGCGATCGCATCATCAAGCATATTCAATTCCTTACGGCAAAAGATTGCCGATATTTCAAGTTACTCTAAGTGAAAATTACTACTACATAATCATGTGATACACGCTGTAGTTATCAGTGCAATATATATTTCATTTCGACAACTTATGTTTCAACAATTAGTTGTTCAATTCTATAGTAATTATATAGCCCTTACTTTACATCGCAAATAATCATTTCATTTATTTTGTCAACTTTTCCTCCATCCTGAATTTCATTCAAATTATCCAAAATTTCGGATTTTCGAGGATCTACTGTAGTTTCATGTAATCTTCCATAAACTTCTTTTATCTCGCCGGTTCCGCCATTGTGCGACGTAATGTTACCAGCCCCTCTTTTCTTATTTCTTCTCTACATACTGTTCTTGTTCTCTTTACCCATCTGGGTCTTCCCATTATCGTTAGCTTTGTCATGTCCATTTTATTGCCCTCCCCGACATTTAGCTTCCTACTTCTCGACTGTTGACTGCATCCAGTAGGTGAAGCTTTCTTCGCACGCGAGCAGGATCGGCTAGAGGAATGACCTTTCTCCGGAATTTTATTTCCAAAAGTACTCGCTGCTTGTAATACCGCTGCGTCCGAAAATTGATCACAAAAGTCCTCCAATTTCTGATGAGGTACCTTTATTAAAGTGTATTTGTTAAAAAATTGTACACATCGCTGAGGATATAAATACATTATCTCTAGCGAATTATGTTAAATCCAAGTTTTCCCGCGAAAAGTTAGTCTTAATACGTAATAAAATAATAAGCGACTAATACTGATGGAATAGCTATAATATAATTGAATGTAGACAAAGATAGCAGATTAAAATTTTCAAAAAAATTATGTACCTTCGTGCGTCGAGTTCATTCTGAGAATTAAAAAAAATTAATTTTTCATTCGACATTCATTGTCACAGAGTAAAGCTGAAGTGTTTCCGTAGAATAGCGTCATTTGCTATACCAGCATCACAATTTTTGCACAAAATTTAATTCTTGATACAGCGAGTGCGTTACTAGGATAGTCTTATTTTTATCGAAAAATGACATAGAACTCTCTAGAACGAATCCTTCAATTAAATGGTCAATCATTGATTGGTTAATTGATTCATGTGTCGAGACACATCATTTGCTGTGGCGATTTGTTCCGTAAATGTAATGTAAGTTAAATCTCTGTTCCTATGTTATGTTCCTCTCTAACTGAACCGTGAGATCCGACGCTAGACTACTCTTTGGCGTTTCCCTGAATATAACTCCGCCAGGGGGGGCAACATTCTAGACTAAAAAGCTCTAAGCTCCCGAGTGGTATCCCGGTTTATGTGGTATTGTAGTGCGTGTAACTGAAAGTGCGTGGAGGGTGACAAGAGTAAGGAAATATCACACGCATCCCGGGGGCGGGTTTCGTTAGGATACCTCGGCATTCGCCCGGTATTGATCAGAGACACCACGAAAAAACACCGGTAAGAGAAGCCGACCTTTAAAATTCTCCTCTATACAGTGGCTGATTCGACGTGGCTATGTACCGAGTGTTGAAATTCCGTCACCATCTACCCGGGACCGTAGGATCACGAACCCTAGGGTATTCAGAAACATTGCACACACACCGTGCCAGTGCTGCTAAGTCATCTAAGTGGCTTAAAATATTGAAATCAATGTAATTATCACATAAATGAAGCTTACTTCAGTGGTATCACTTCTTCAACATGAGTTATTTTTGTCTTGGAGTTGGCATGTTTTAATGTGTTGCTCATCAGATGATGACAGGAGAAGAGACGTTTCATTCGTGTGTCTCCGTGTGCTTGCAGGGAAGCCGGAGCCCGCGGTGCGCTGGCTGGTGAACGGCGTGCTGGTGGACGACGAGTACGAGCACAACGCGGGTGACGTCATCGAGAACCGCCTCATGTGGAACACGGTGGGCCGGCAGGACCTCAACTCCGTCTTCTCGTGCCAGGCCAACAACACCAACCTCACGGAGCCTCGCGAGACCTCGCTCACGCTCGACCTCCACCGTAAGTACCCCGCGCAACGGATGCGACGTCGATGGCCGAGTTTTTGAAACAGGGGTGCCACAAGGGCCGCAACTAAAACATTGCCTGCTCGAATACTCGAGCTATCCTCATTTGACTTCCCCGTAATGTTGATCTCCATAGTTTGCCCGGCTTCTCTGACACCAAGGGGGGAGGGATGGAACCATGTGTTATGAAACCATCTGTGACATTAGGATTTGGATTTTTTTAATATAATAGAAAAAAATCTTAAACCTAAACAATCTATTTTTACATTAGGTAGGTGTTCATCTCGACAGTATACGTGCGCTATCCGTGCAATGTTTTCTCCCCACATAGATGCAAGGAACTTTACTTTTGACTTGTATCCTTTGGCAGCCTCCCAGTTGGACAACCCTGTTTTAAAACATCGATGTTTTTAACAACGATACATTAAAGTCGATATTTTTTAACATTTATGTTTCATACTCGATATTATTAAAGTCTGAAATATTATTATTATTATTATTATTATTATTATTATTATTATTATTATTATTATTATTATACTTTCACATGACAAAACAAAAGCTCAGTCCTAGCTCATTTGCTAATGCCGACTGCCCGGCTTCAAAACACATCGCCATCTAACGAGAAATATAAAATAAATTTATCACACTTTCACATATTTACTAGAATAACAGGACATCATTTAAATAGACCATAATAGTACCATAATGCTACCACGGCCAGTTCATGCGGTCAT